CAACTAGTTGTTTTTGGGTTAACTTGGTTTTACATTTTGCAACAGCATTAGCAATTTTGACCCGGTTTTTGTAATCCCAAGGCTGAAAGTCATCCGAAGGACCTCCGTAGGTACAACCAACCTTTGCAATGTCATCTTTTGATACATTTGCAAAGGACAGAAAATACCTTGCAGAATTTGGCAATTCTCCCGATATAAAGGCTAGCCATTTCATGTCCGATGGTGCTAATGCAAAAGAAATTACTTATCCCGTCAAAAACATAAACTTTTTTTTTCAATTCTTTCAATATCTTTCCTTATTAGTTTGCCATACTCAACCATTGAAGGATGCTCTTCTGAGCAGTTGGCCCCACAAATCAAATGGTTTTCATTGCAACTGGTAATTCTATCTACAACATTCAAAAAGGACACACACCATGCTGTTGCTTGGTTATACTTACCAAAAGGGGCACCGTCGGCACCTATTGCAACCTGAAAAGAACCGACTGGGAGCCCAAACCAATTTAAATAGCCTGGGCGTTTCTGGTTAATAACTAGATACAATTTAGCTAATTTAATAAGAAAGCACTCTAAGTCCCTGAAACATCCAGAAACAGGGGGATGTAAATCACCCTCATTATCTTCATCGTCCATTTGATTCACTCCTTTGTCAAACTTGGTCTTCTTTGCCCTGGGAATATCACGTAACTCACCAATATCAACACTATTTACAAACCTCATAACAGTTTTGTAGTCAGCAAGCTTAGGAATTTTGCATTTATCCATATATTTGACCTGGTGTTTCTTCCACGTTCATCAATTTCAAAGATCTCTTTGCTTCGTTTTCTATTGTATTGGCTTTTGCTTGATATCCCACCTTCATAGAGTACTGCTACAGATCGAACAAGGTTGCTTTGGCCAAGTTCATACCTATTCACAGCAGTATTGACAATGGTTGGTAGGACCTTTTTCATAACTTTAGAAGAATTTAATAGGTATTGCTTCACTTCATATTCACTGGCAGTATTTATGAAAGTATTCCACAAACCATTTAATGCGTATTCTCTTTTGGATTCAGCGTTGTCAGATGATGGGGCATTTACCGCCACAGCATTGGTAAACATTAACTTTCTCCTCTTTCTGGCAACACTTTGAGGTAGGTCAAGCTTCTCACTGTTTGACGGGGTGCAAAATGATGGCTTTTTTATAGAAGATGTGCGGGGAAGTTTCACTTGTTTATTCAGTAATGAACCCCTCTATAAGAAAGGCAGAAGATTTTTACATACATACATATTTAATATTTTCTATGAGACAAATCTGGCACAATGGTACCTTGGCCAGTTTGCCCTACTATATTTGCTACTTCACTTTATCCACTTTTCCTTGTTTAGCAAAGACAGTTGAACCTTAACCCATTGGGTTGCATTGCGACCCGATGCGCCCTACTTTAATTGTTTTACGGTGTCCAATGGCAGACGATTTTACTCATCAAAGGGAGAGCGCTGGCAATTAATGGGTTAATGGCTAACAAAAATGTCTGCCAATGTCTGGTTTTCTCAGTAAACCCATTAGGCCCAATGCCTCATGTTTAGCCTTATTTGTTATTTACTGTTGCTAACACTAAAGAATTTCCATTGCCAATACAAGGGGAGACAAAATTATTTGCAATATACTCATCTGGGGAAGACCCTTGCAGCATGACCTTGCATCAGCTTTTGAACAAGCTACCATGGTCAAAGCATTGACATAATTTTATATTTTTGTCACACTGGAGCAAATAAAATCTATAGGAGAAGTGTTGTTAACTTTGCATGACACACATAGCTGCACAATAAAACCTTCTTATACAGGGTTTAATACCTAGAATAGAGTAATGGACACTTTAGACATTCAAGTCAAGATTAATCATTCCGACGAACGCCAGCTCACCTTTTGTTTTAGGTCTTTGATGGCCTGTTCCTTTGATGCGATATCTTCATTTAATCCAGCTATGGTATTGTTTAGTTCGAGTGACTTTTGCTTTAGTCGTTTCTGCTCTTTAGACCACGCGCCAATATCGAAGTGCTTGCATGGCCATAAGTTTAAAATTCTCGAGAAAGTCCCTCGTGTAAATTCCTGCAAATAAAACCAAATCTTATGAATTATGTATGAATATGATCTTGAAATACTGGCAAACAAAGCCCTCATTTTAAATTTTCAGCTACTTAAGCGATGAACGAGAAAACATCATTTTATTTTAAGGTACGCTACAAATTTTTCGTAATGTTGTGACTTACCACGAACAATAAACAAAGCTGATATTCATCCCAAAGCTTTTGTCGTTTCTGGTCTCATACAACAATCGTACAAGAAAGACTCAATCTCTCTGCTTGTAGTCAGAGAAAACGACAGTCTTACGGAAATAAACGGCAAAATACGAAAAACCGATGGGTTTGGAGCGTGTTGATATCAAATTCCACGCTTCTTCTCCGCGCACTAAATAATTAATAAGAGGACTGGTAATGAATGAGCGATTTTGCAGGAAAAAATCCCCACCGTGTGGGTTTTATACAGATAAAACCTGATGCAGAAATGCACAGACTATAATTACTGCTTTTACACACACTACAATCAAAACATTACAAAAGTTATAGATATAGCTATATATTTTTTATGATAGATATAAGCTATAGCTATATATTTTTTATGATAAAACGCAAACTCAAATTTGTTCAAAATGCACCGATCAAAATAACTTCCCCCGGCATTTCCAGCCATGCACTTCCCTCCGGCATTTCCAGCCGTGCTCTCTTCCTTTTCATATCTTTATGCTGCATCTCCTCCTTCATAGAATTTCTCTTTTCGGCCATGGGCACCAGGTCGCGATAACCAGTCCTCTCCAAAATCTGGTTATCCAAGCTCAACTATACAGACGCATTTTTATAATGTTAAGATACACTTAGATATCGGTAATATCAACAACAAAACACGAAAGCACTTGAATACAAATAATATTTCACTCAGATTGACTTGTGGGGAATTCCGAGGAGTTCAAGAGATATTCAAGATTTTCTCGATATGAAAACAGAATATTTGGCCAAGTGGTGAGTAAAATACACAATTGTTTTGGTGTGTAATGTTATATGACAGCATAAATACTCGTTGAGATATTTACATTGGAAGGCAATTGAATGAAAAATATGAAATTTATCGTCGAACAGTAAAGAGTTAATCAATAGTTCAAGTTCTGATAAGTTTGCAAGTCATCCGCAAAAATGTGTGAAATTCAAACAAATCTGGCGATTTTGTATAATTGCTCTTTTTCTAAGGGAACTGTACCTTTTAATTGTACTTTTCTACAGGAAAATTTAAAATAGCGCAGGTAGTTCCTGTAATAACAACTTAAGCTTTTTAGCGGATTGGTTGGAATACTATAGCGTCCTGTGGTTTTCGAGATATTTAAGTTCAAAATTTCTAATTCAATTTCTTGAGAAGTTACTGGAGAAAGAAAAAACTTTCAGGGCTATATTCCAGAGGGGATTCACTTACAGGAGTAATAGAATTAGCCACATTTATACATATTGTTGAAAAGTATTTATTAAATGTATTTCCCTTTATCTCTAAACCATCTTTAATCAATTTAGTTGGAACTCCTTGTATGCCATTTTTATTAATAACTATCTCTCTAATTCCTGACCAGACCTCTTGCTATTAACAACTTGCTCAGTTTATTATGGTATGTTCTATATTTGAATATATGATATGCACTTCCATTTTGTAAATGCTTCTTAAATAGGATATTTTTTTCCGAATTGATACCTTTAGTGATGGGGTCATCCAGGGTTTTATATTGAACTTTGTCTCTTTTTCTTGTTAATTTCTTCAAAGGAACATGCCTATCAACAACCTCTGAAACTTTGAGTAATAAATAAAAAGTCTCCTCCCAGTCTATTGATGTCATCTCATTAATCAGTTTTGATTCATTCAAGTTTGTATAGTCTCTCCTATAGATTTTAGTTTTAGTTGTCACATTACAGATTTTGTTAATGATAAAAAAAATTAGGAATGATCAGTTAAGTCAGATAGTGTATTACCACTATAATAATATACATAAAGATATTACTTGACTGTAATTGGTTGATTTCAGTGCAGTTAATCCCAAACAGCAGTGCAATTTTTTGTTATCACAGTGCAATTTTCTGCAACCACAGTGCAAAACTCTGTAACAAACTGATCTGATTGGTGGAAAAACATTGTGATGATTAAATAAACCAATTAAAGCAATTTAGTTTAAAGAAGTAACGGTCACAGATTGCTTCAAAACAAAACAAACATGGAGACGTGCTACACAAAATAAAAAGTTGCCTTTGCATGGAAAACATGGCTTTTATCTTTATTTTTAAATGGAAAAGTATTTACCTTAAACAAGACTAACAAAAATTACATAGTTGAGCAGAATTTTCAAGCTCTTAGCATTGTACTAGAAATACATGCATGCAAACAACCCCTCGCCTATATTTTCCAAACATTGTTTTAACATGAAGTATTCGTAAATTACGCCAACACTGAACGCAGGCTCGCATGTTTATAGTCATGGCAACACGATAATTGTTTTTAAATTTTTGTACAAACCGGGAAAAAATAGATGAAATTTGAACACTTTTAACTCAATTCAATCCTCCAATATTAATTTCCGACGTATATGACGGGAAGATTAAAAATATTAAAGAACTTCGCGAGTATTTGCAGTAGAAATACGAAAATACCACCAAAAAATTCTGCTTGATCGACACTATATATTCAGAAATATTCATATAACTTTATTGCTTCTCGCTCAATTTCAAGCGAATTTCTTACCCTGAAATGATCAATGCGGTGAAATTTATACAAATGACGCATTATCTATCAATTTTGCTGTTGCATTTTGAATGTTCCGCCTGATTCAAATGCTTGTATCTTTGCTTCTTTTCAACATATAATAATAACAAATATACCAAAAGAATCGCCATCTTCCATTCTATAGCTCCTCGGAGCAGTCTCGGGAAATTGCAAAATAATCTAAACCTATGATGGCGATTCTCGTGATCGGAAAGTGTTCGGCGAACTTCGGATGCCAAGTTCTTGGTAAAGCATTACAGTTTCCTGGTAAAAGACTGCAGGAATCACTTCCAGAGTGTTTGTTTACCCTAGATACGGATTTTGATTGGCTTAGGCAGAAAAACAAACCTTTTAGAGCAATTTTCCTGATTATCGCGCACAAGAATGCACAAGCGTTGTAATGTATTGTGTTGTTTGAATCGCATTGTGAAGACGTTCTTGGCTTTATTTTGCAAACTGATAGTGCTAGTAATGATGGAATGTCTTCGTATGAAGACAAGTATCTCAACCTGGCATTGGGAGTCGTGTCTGGAGTTTCAAGGCAAGTATTTGTATAATTTCTAGACAATTTCTATTTCAATGTTTTGCCGTTGCCATGGCGTTGTAAATTTATTTGTATTTTGTATAGCTTCACTAGTACGACCAAGTATGTCCTCATCACTTTTTTGTGTTGAAATAATCCTTTCACATTGAAATTGACAAATATAAATGGTATTTATTTATATTGTTGACTAAAATTTATGGTGTTTTAGGCATAAAAAAAATCTCTGATTCCTAGGTAAAGTAAAATGAGCCTTGAGCACATGTTTGGTTGTTTGTTACATACATAATAGCCAAGTAGTCATACTTATATCTTACTAGTTTGGCTCTTATTATAATCTTAAGTGGCACCATGTCTATAAAAAAGTTTTTATTTGCACTGACGAATACATTGATCCTGTTCCTATCTGCTGTTCCTGTTTCATAGCCTCAGGGAAGTAGAGTTCTGATGAGTCATAGAACCCCACTCCCCAACCCAGAGGGAAGGTAGGGAGATGAGTAGAGGTAGAGGGAAGCCCAGGCATTAGGACCCAAGGTTTCAAAAGCTCCCTGTCTAGCATCCCCACTAGGCCCCATAGTACATGACGGATATGATAATCCTGACGCTAGGAATATTCTTCCAGATTTTGCTCCTCACTGACATGTCCGGGATCCATTTCGATCAAGCTTTCACCTGAAGTATGAACTGTGACCTTGAGTTCATTCAGCTCTTTCTTACCAAGAGAATGCTTCAGGAGGTAGTTTCCTGGCCATACCAATACATGTGCCCACATACAAATAACTCAAAAGTCATCCTCATATACTAATAAAGAAGGGTCTTGCAGTCCACCAACCTTGAGAGGTTGATTGCCTTTTAGTATATGCAGTTTTGCTAAAGGTCGACAGTGAGATTGGAAATTATTGGAGTGTAAAAACCTTATATCATGGTCTGTGGGCAATAGAAATAATTTCTCGGGTTCGGTACAAAGCGCTTATGGCATTTGTGAATATGGTAGATCCTGTACTAAAGACTACAGCAATAAACTGCATCAACAACTGTACCAGCTGTCACAGGATATTGTTGTTGACAAACACACTGTCAAATCAAGAAATAGGTTGGGGATTAGGCAGTTCATGAAAGCTAGGTGACCTACTATGTGGGGGTAAAGCTGTGGGTTGCTGCAGACAATCTTAATGGTTATATTGCGACTTTGAAATTTATACAGGAAGAAGTCCAGATATTCGTCACAACGGATTTGGGTATGACGTGGTGATCTAATATCAGTTTGGTTACAGTCTTAGGTCTTTTGTGGTACAATATAAAGGAAATATATTCACCACATAATCCAATTATGTGCTTTGGCAAACATTACTGCCTTGGAAAACATTATTGCCTTGGAAAACATTACTTTTTTATAACTACTAATTATGATGATGCCAGCCCAACAACACTACTTGGCCATGCTATTTGCAAATATTTTCATGTTCTAGATTGTGAAAACAATCAATTTCTAAACATATGAGTAGTGATTATTTCAAATTTGAATAGCATGACCAAATTTTGAGGCTGGTTATGCCACTAATAACTAAAGTCAATGGTGTAATGATTATCTAAGAATGTATGTAGTAACTGTAGAAATAAAGACATTTTGCTAATCATGATTTGAGTGTTTTTTTTTGTGGGTATCACAATACTTATATTGGTGCCATACTATCCTTGAGAGAACAAAATATTGGAAATTTGTATTGATAACATGTTGCAGCAATGAAAAAGGACCTTTGATAAAGTTTTTTTGTTTCATGCAAAAACTGTTCTTGCCATTCGGCTAAATGTTTAGTTAGTCGTGTGTCTAGTATTTGTTCTACGCGTTGGTCGATTTCTTCTGTATATAGTTTTGCTCCGTTGACCTTCGCTTCGAGTGTTTTGTTTGATGATGCTTCTTGTTCACTTGGTATATTTAATGCTTCTTGTGTGGCGAACTGTGTCAAAAGAGCCTTCGAGATTTTGCACCGTCGCTAATTCAGCTTGGGCCTTTGCTGCTTGCCGTGTAATAATTCTCTTCGGAAGGTTTACTTTCGATGCAGATTCTGTCACCAGTTGTTGTCGTTTGTACTTAAACAGCCTTTGAGTACAAAATGTTCTTGTGCCGGTAATGGGTAGACTATGTAGATGTAGTTCAAAAGGAATTGTATGTCGGACATACTGAAGGAGAGTTCAAATCCAGATATTATTGCCATGCTAGCTCGTTCAGATTAAGCAAGTATAGAAATGCGACAGAGCGGAGCAAATACATCTGGCAACTTAAAGAGTCAAAGGTCAAGTACTCCATAAACTGGCGTATTATTAAGCAATGCAAGAGCTACAACAACACAACGAAACGCTGCAGTCTTTATACTGAAAAATTCATTATAATCTACCACCCTGAACTTTGTTCTTTAAATTCAAGAAGTGAACTTCTCAGGACGATTAATGCTTGGCGCGATTAAATATATCTAGCGTGTTGCCATTTGAGTGCGTTTTGGTGTTCGAATGAAACTGAAATACAATAAATATGAGCTGTAGGATTATGTTACACTATAGCAACCAGCAGGGATGGGTAAACTGTTAGTTTTTCTTCTGAAATTGGCCGTTGTATAATATATTATATCATATAAAGACTCAGACAAGTGTCGAATATTCTGCTAAATATATAAACAAACATATGTACTTATCATATTGTACTTCTGTATATATTATTCTCTCTGTTCCTTGCATATTATTTGAATGCACCTACTTACTAGTTGCAAATGGTAATACTTACTTTTTATATTTGTATTTCATAATATTTTGTTTCACAGCAGGGGCCTATATTATAATGATCATGGCATGCGTGAATTCATCACACGAAAAACGCATTGGACTTGCGGGCACATAAGACACCATTAATGTGTTTCGTTAATAAGTAGATTTTGTCTAGAGTACAGCTAACTTTGGTCCTACAATTAGACTTGTAAGCATTGTTATCTGGAACAATCATTTTAGTGCAAATTATATTGACATTGTGCGAGACATTATTGTATTCACAGCAACATTTTCATATCTGTGGCATAATCTTTAAGTTTCTAATTAGTAAATTGCAGTATATGGGTAATATCTTGTTACGAGACCAGTTTCTATGGAAACCAAATAATTGAAAAATATTGGCAGTTGATTTCCAACACTCACCCACAAATGAGGGTCATAGTGTACTTTGTTAATTTTCCTATTTTCCCACTCCTTATGAATTTGGAGCCAGGCATTAATGCACCTGAGTTCTATCGAAATGCAGACATAGAAACAAATTTCTCTTAAGCAATATAGCCTACATTACTTAATATAATCTGTATATATATTTAATCTATACGTAATTTAATACCAGGGCTTTCAGAATGGAATTCCAGATTTTCCTTAAACTCAGTGGTAAAAATTACTTAAATCGACAAAAATTTCCTTAGACTTGCCCTAGGTTCCGGGGAACACTCCAGTGGTGCGCAATCATATGCACAATTGGCGCGAAAATATATAAATAACTTTTTTACATCGGAAAATGGCAGATTCTGAATTTTCTGATTATGAATCAGAGGGAAGCGTTCCAAAAATGAATAAACTGATTTAAAAAAAAGTATAAACAAAAATTTCGAGCGGAATGGACAAAATATCCTGCTTTTGAACATTGTTGCACCAAAAAACACGAATGACGAACCATCATGCAGAGTTTGCTGCAAAAAATTTCGTGTTTGAAAACTGTACTTCAAAGACACAGCAAGTCAGTGTCACTCACACTCTTAGTACGAACAATAAAATTGAAGATGATCAGCGATTTCAGTATATACTACTGCCAAAAACTTCATCAGGTCGATGGATATAACTTATAAGTATAACAAACAGTGTAATAGCTAATTACCGTTTGGAGTGTATTTTTCAACTCAAAATTCCTTAAAAATTCTATTTCCTTAAACGTCTCCTTAAAAAGGTCAAAATTTCTTCAGTTTAAGAAAATTTCCATACAAATGAGAGTCCTGGTGATGACAACACCCACATGAGCATCTCGTGACTGTGATAATTTCACATGTGAGTGTTTAAAGCTATTTCACTTTCAGAAACTAGAATAAAATCAACACACCTATCTGGGCTGCCCATGGTACTTTCGACCCACAAAATTCTCCTGGCTTTCTCAATAATCTGTAAAAAATAATTATCAAGAAAAATAAAACATCTATTGGATTTTCCCTTTTCCAAACTTGAAGTAAATAATTTTCACATTTACCTCTACATAATCTTCAAAGCATGGATAAGCTTCTAAGAGTTTTTGAACTCGTTCTGTGGTGGGAACATCTTTTAGCCAACCAAACAAACCAAACATGCAAACTCTCAATGAAATACAAACTCCACGTTAAGGTGCTTATGAAACAATTTTTTTTTACCCTTTATTGTACTTTCGAGGTTGGGGAGTACGAATTTGATACTGAAACCGACAAAAACAAATTATTTAACTTTTTATCATCTAAACATTGTATTTTCCTGAAAAAATATGGTCCTAGGACTGGGAATGAGGGAAAATTGCACAGCCTTTGTTTTATATTTCGTATATGTAAATATGTCTTCAAGCGACAATACATCCTATTCTTTTTCTTATAATACTGATTCAAATGACGAGGTTTATAGCTGCCAGTGAAGATGAAAGTTGTTCGCGAAGGTGAAGATATAATGAGTGAAAATAACGAAGAAAATGGGTGTGATCTAGCTTTGGCTTTGGAAGATAGACTTGATCGAAAAGTAAAGTTTGATTCTTGGTAAGTCATCCTGTAATCAAGGTTGAAACCCATACGTTTAATTCCGCAATATTTTGACTAGACAGTATTCAATGCTTTTTATACTCGAAATGTTCTGACAAAAGGCTTGTTTGGCGCACTGGAGTTCAGATGCTGTCATGAGGTTGTGGAGGCTTTGGGCAAGCTTACGGGAACTCCTTGCAAAGAGTAAGCCAGAATATGTTTTAATTCATTTAAATTTATTAAATATACATCTCAAATAAATATAAAATACACAATAAATCTAATTTTGCTGGCTATTTTTATGACTATGTTAAATTATGCAGTATGAAACAATACACATAGAAATGGGAATTTTTTATACATGTTATTATTGGCACAATAATGAAAGTTAACAGAGAATTGAGAGGTGCCAGATGCCATGAATATATTAGAGAAAACAATGTGGGTCAGGGCCTCTTTTAAGGATATGTAACTGGGTGGGACATCTTTCCCAAGGGACCAAAAATAACGTAAAAAGGGGACCTGAAAAAAATCTACTAAAGTCTATAAAATTGCGGCTACTAGCTTAAATATGGGTTTCGCTCTAGGGCAGCAGAGGATGGTCAAATTTAGAAAATAATGTCAAGTTGTCAACACACCTTTTTCTCACTTATATATAATTGCCAGGCAGCTAGTGAAACTCATCTATACAGTATACCACTATATACATGTAATCTATCAATCAGCAGTCCGATGTAAAAAACTTCTTTACGAAGTCACGTTCCGCTGCCCCTTAGCATTTGGTAGAGTCTCACACCATAGTCTCTTGCAGGAATATGTGTATCAGGAAGCATTTCCGTAAAATTTTCTAAAACTGCATCAATAAATGCTTGTTTATCACTGATTCCACTTGATTCAAGTTGAGGTAATGCAATGTTGATGAATTCAATTGCACGTTTTGCTGAGGTCAAGTTGATAATGGTTGTTACAATTTCTGTTTGTTCCTCGTTGAGCCTGGTCTAAACATGATAATGATATACATAAAAAATATAGGTAATAGTAATTAAAAACTTTATATGGTGTGACCTGATTGCTAAAGAGATATGAGATTACCTATTTATCTCATTTTACCTGGAGAAAATTCCTTGAAGAATCAATAACCTCTTGCCTGATAGGTTGTTTTCCTCTACGAAACGTTGTCACATTGGTGTTGTGTGTCCTTCTTGGTGTATTATCCACTGCTTCATCGTTCTCTGGATGCAGTTCTGCAATCTTCTTTGTTAATAACTCCTCCTGGCCACCTATGTGCAGTAAAATAACATACAATGTAATGAATAATACACCTTTGTTAAAGAACTCAAATAAGAGTGAGTTCAATTTGTTTTCTATAAACAAAGTAACTTACTAACTATATATATTTTACCTGGATATGGCTCTGTTTGCATTATATCAAGTTTTTGCAAGGCAGTATCTCTGTACTTCAATATATCAGGAATGATAATGCCAGGCTTCTGGGCTTCTTTTTCAATATATCTGAAGATACAGCATGTGTCCACCATAACAGCAGTTAGCCATACTTGCACTCCTGTTGGTTGCCACAACTTTAAAAATCCTTTTGCAGACGATACCTCCTTGGTATTGTATTCTCGAGGAGCATCACAAATCTTTTGCCAGTGCTTTAAACATCCATCTAAATTGAATAGTATCGCTCCACAAAGTTGAACAAGATGTTGAGCAAACCTTACCTCATGATGAGGAGGAAAACTTCTCATGTCTGGTTTTATGGTCTTCAACTCCTTATGCTCTTCCGATCTCTGATGTGCGGTAATAAGTAGCTACTCCCGTTACATTGGAAAGCCAGATTTTCAGTTCAGGTACCAACCTAAGACATTATAAATGTTAACATTAATATAGCCTTATAATTTATTTTTTTATCTTTTTTTGCTCAGGTAATTTATTTTTTTATCTTTTTTTGCTCAGGAGATCGGAAGAGCG